GTCGCATGCGTAGGGTCATGTATGTATACTTACCATATTTGTTGTATCCGCAAATAAAAACAAATAGTATTTTTGGTAAATTCATTATTCTTTATTTTTTATTCAATATTCTTTGTAAAAAATATATACATACATTTAAAAAAATATATTAAATATAAATTTTAAGAAATAATTTTCTTAACAACTTCGCCCACTTTTATTTGGACTATATATTCTATTGTAATCCTTCCGTGTGGAATTGTATGATTGAGAGATGAGGATAATTCCAAAATATATATTGATCGTTATCGGAACGGGCCTGCCATATTTTCAAATAATTTGTATATCGTTTTCGATTGTCATCATACGGAAATTCGAGCATATATAATTCATAAAAACCTGGAATGAAAAATAAAAGACAAATTAAAAATATATATAAGCATTAAATAAAAGAGTAAAGTGATTGACTGACTGATTTAACGATTCATCAACGCCCAGACGAAACGGCTAAAGATAGAATCTTGAAATTTTGGTTGAGGGTCACTCTTCTTGGTTCAAAGGTGACAGATAGGGCTGTGTTTTAGGAAATTCGCACTAGAACGACACGAAAAGTACTAAATGTGATACCATTTGTATATGGCGAACCGGTAGATCTAGAACTCTTAAATTTTAAATGAGGGTCACTGATGGAGTGTAGAATAGATATAGCAAAGGGGTTTTTTGGACATTCGAACTATAAGTATGCGAAAAGTACTAAAATGTACTAAATTTAGTACAATTTCGTAGCATGTGAATGGATAGAGCTAAAAACTTTAAATATGGAATACAAATTAAGGTTGAAAAGCAGGGTCGATATAAGGAGCTGGCTTTGGAAGTGTGTACTTATGTATACGAAAACTACTATATTGTACTATATTCGGTACAAATTTAATTTGGTCGTGCAAATCGAGTTGGAATCCTGAAAATTTAAATTAGCATTACCGTCGAAGTGTAAGATTGTAGGATATATACATAGTTTTGGAATTTTTTTATTTATGTGTACGAAAAGTACTAAATAGTACTATAACTGGTACCAAATTGGATTTGGTACCAATAGAGCTGGAACAATGCAATTTGGAGTCATGGTTACTGGTGTAGGATTATGATATGTAGAGAATTTTGAACATTCGTACTAATGTGTACTATATGGTACCAAATTTGGATGAACCGATAGAGCTGGAAGCTTTACATTTGGAGTTAGGATCATTGTTGGGGTAGAATTGGGCTATTTAGGAAATTTTGTAAATTCCTACTAATGTGAACTAAGTTTTGTACAATTTAAATTTTGGGTGAACCGATGCGATGAAATTTTGGAAATTTTGTACTAAATGGTACCAAATGCGGGTTTGATTGAACCGATTGAGCTGGAATCTTGACATGTGATGTTAGGATCACTTTTGGGGTGTAGTATTGGTCTTTTTGTACCAATTGAGCTGGAAACCTTCAAATTTGGTATGGATGTAGTTTTGGAAATTCATAATTATGGGTACTAAATTGCACTAAATTTGGTACAATTTGAATTTTGTGTGAACTGATAGAGCTGGAATCCTGCTATTTGGAGTTACGATTTTTGCTGGTAGTAATGTGTTCTAAATGGTACAAAATTTGTATTTGGGTGAACCGATAGAGCTGGAATCTTTACATTTGATGTTAGAATCACTGTTGGGGTGTAGGGTTTCGCTTTGTAGAAAGTTTTGGAAATTCGTGCTAATGTGTACCAAATTTGGTACAAATTAAATTTTTGGTGAACCAATACAGCTAAAATCCTGAAATTTGGCCTTAGGGTTGCTGTTGGGATGTATGATTGGGCTACGTAGAATATTTTGGACGTTTATACTAATGTGTACAAAATGGTACCAAATGAGAATTTGGGTGAACCGATAGAGTTGGAATCTTAAAATTTGGTGTTAAGATCAATGTTGGAGTGTAAGATTGGGCCTTGTAGGAAGTTCAGAAATTCATAATAATGTGTACTATGGGGTATGTGGAATGTTTTGGAAATGTCTACTAAGGGGCACTAAATTTGGTACAATTTTGATTGAAAGTTAATCCTGAAAATGATTAATAAGATTTCCATTGGATTGCATGATGTAGGTAGGAAGGGAAATTTGTACTAAATTTGATACAATTGGATGTAAGATTAGATTGCTTTGGAAATTTGTACTAATGTGTACCAAATGGTACCAAATTTGGATTTGGGTGAACCGATAGAGCTGATCTTGAAATCTTGAAATTTGATGGTAGGACTGTAGGAATGTAGGATTGAACTTTGTAGGAAGTTCGTACTAATGTGTACTAAATATTGTACAATTTAAATTTTGGGTGAACCAATATAGCTGGAATTCTGAAATTTGGAGATAGGGTTACAGTTGAGGTGTAGGATGGGTCTATGTAGGAAGTTTTGGAAATTTGTACTAATGTGTACAAAAAAGTACCAAATGTGGATTTGAGTGAACCGATAGAGTTAGAATCTTGAAATTTAAATTCTGGCCATAATAAAGTAATCTGTTGACGTTTTCATATGGGATGCAATTATCCATTCAGAAGTTATACGCTTTCTAAGCTGGGCTTAAAAACTGATTTGCCTTATCATTATGAATAAATGGCGCTGATGGCGCGATCTTTTTTTTTCAATTAACTCCTCTCCACCTTGGCTCACGTCCTATTTGGTGTTAGAATGTTCAGAGCCATGTCTCCATGTGTAGCTTAAGCTACAAATTTGACTTTATCCATAGATGGTGGTTTGTGTTTTACAGGTTGACTTCGATCTTCTTCAAGAATTTGTCCACAATGTTCAGACTTTCTAAGCCTTGTGTATCAGTGAACTCTTCTACTGTGAAGGAGTCACATAGTTGCGGGAAGCATCTTCTTTTGTTACTAAATTTACGAAATCTAAAAATTACATGCGCAGCTGTTTGGATTCCATTGAACGACTCGGACTTTATAGGTTATCCGTATTCGAAAACACACGTGTTAGTTAAGCGAACGCTAAACAACCGCCATTTTGTAAAAATCTATTTTTAAGCCCGTGGGCGTATAATACTTATTAAAACTTTTTTAGGTCACGTCTTTCTTGTGAGCCGTCCGAAGACGAACTGATGACGCGATCTTGAAATATGCTTACCTCATTTCTTTTCGCCATAACTTTTTTCGTATTGCAGATAGTTGTGGCAAATAGTTGTCGTGAGCATCATATAGTGAATGGGTGGATTCATTTATTTTTACTATAACTGTTGACCAATTGTGGATAATTAAATAAAATTGGTGTCATACGAAAGGTAAAATTTCGTATTTTCTCGAAAAGTATTTTGTGCAGTATTTTTTTTTTTTGCTGGTCATAGTAATGTAGATTATTTACTCTTTGATATGACACACATGCGATTATATGTTTAAAAGTTATAATTTTGGAAGTTTTGACTTAAAAATGCAAAATTTAAATATTTTAAGGATTCTAGAACATTATCTGGAAGAAAGCAAACATTGTTTTTTTTATAGAAAGAAAGATTTCTTGCTTTATGTTCTATCAAGCTCTAAATAAAATGTTTGAAATTATCAACTTTTTTGCTTAAATCGATGTCAATGTAAAAAATTTGCACAAAATAGAAATTCTGATTCGAAAATTAATTTGAAATACATTTAAATGCAGAGAGATAAGTATATACAATTCCTGAACGTCATCACGTTGGCACACTTAATTTTCGTTTATTACACAGCGCAACAATTAAAAATTATATTGCCATAGGTCAAGTGTTTGAATTTTGACGAGATGTAGTTTTTGCCATTGAGAAAAGTTTTATATATTTACCTTATTCAAAACCTGTCTTCCCAAAAATAATCTTTTTTCAGCTGAGTACGAGTAGGGTTCGAACTTAGGTCCTCAGAGCAACACAAATGTTACCAGACCACTTAACGTTCTGAGCCATCAACACACTTCCAAAAAGGTTGCACAAAAACATGTGTATACCATGGAAGCAATTGTAGGTGTGTAGATTGGATTGTAGGTGTGGATTATCCATCGCTACAACAAAAATCTGCTTTGAAAAGGACTGATTCTAGAATGAAGACAAATGTCGAATCTGACAAATTAAATTCTCATATGCAGGTTCGCATCAGGGCGAAATAAATACAAGTTATGAACATCATACGACCCTAATGTGTACTAAATTTTGTACAATTTAAATTTTGGGTGAACCAATACATCTGGAATCCTGAAATTTGTTAGGGTATACGATTGGGATATGTAGAAAGTTTTGGAAATTTGTACCAAAGTGTACAAAATGACACCAAATAAGGATTTGAGTGAACCGATAGAGCTAGAATCTTGAAATTTGAAGTTAGGATCACTGTTAGGATCACCTACGACCCAATATGCCTGATGACCAATTGCGAAACGCCTCGCATAATGATGGGTACGTAGGTTCTTCTCCTGGATTTCCTTTTCATTGTAATACTTAGATCATTAAGCTCGACTCGAAAGTGTATAAATAACTCACTTATAATCTTCCCTTGTGTAGGCCTGTTACATCAACATTAAAAACTTGCCCCATAACACATTTGTCCCTTTAGGTCCTTAATATAGGTGCCGAAGGCTTATCGACGCATAAGGACATAAGGATTATTTTGTGTAACAGCGTTTATAAAATTTCATAACATAATTTTTGAGGCCACTGTAAATAAATCAAACCTAAAAAATGTAGTTTACTATGCCTCAGACAGAACACCCTCATTCCACTTCATTATCCAATGCATTAATTAAACAACACCGAATTTAATTCATCGATTATTTATTTAAACAATTGCAATTACATTTTGGTTACGTGAATTTTGCAACAGAAGTCTGTATTGTACAATTCCACATAGTAAATGCAATTTTCTACATATTTTTTTTTAAATTACGAAGGTATAAATAAGTGTCCGAAAACTAAAACTAGACCAGTTGCAAGTTGTCACCGTGACGGGAAAAGGAATTTCGCCTCGTAAAAATGATTCCAGAATTTTATAATGGTCGTGAAATATTTATTACCGGTGGATCGGGTTAGTGTTTTTTTATAAAAAATAAAATAACGAAATATATATAAAAAAAATAATAAATAGATACTGAAAACAGTATTAAACCAGTGAGCGGAGCAGTATAGTCGGACGGGGTCGACCATATGATACCCTACACAACTTCCATGAAAATCTAACTTTCTGCGATATTTGCACACTTTTGACTGGCTAGAGGTCTGAAAATGTTACTAATAATCAGTACAGCCCTTCTAATTACTTGTCCAGATACCCTTCACCGTAGGTTGTGTTGTTATGTTCGGCTTTCGACTCGAAAAGTACAAATAATTAAGATTTCGGTCCACTTCATCCGAAAAATTATTATCTGATCATCACCTAACATTTTAGGCGTTGTCCTCGACCATAACTAGAACCTCATGGAACATTTCAAAGCGATCAGGTTATATATCCGCCCTAAAGTGTACTAAATAATATATGAATACGTATGCACCTGTAAATATTTAAGTGTAACACCCGCATCCGTGTACCTACGACAATATGATTGGTATCAATTTAAAGGTCAACCACTCCTCTTGGATATACTATCAACTTCTCGGGTCTATGTCCTTCAGGAGTAAATATATACGCCATAGAATACAAATTTTGTAATTTTTCACACAAAAATCAGGGTTCATTTGACCCGCTAAATATTGACCGATTTTTATAAAAACTGGCATGCTTATTCTTTGGCCCGATCCCCTTCTTCATGTGAAAAATCGCGATGTTCGGGCCATAATTGCGGCCTCTGGAGCGACCAGAAAATTGGACAAACATAAAGTTTTTGGTCCATTTCATACCCTAAATATTAACCGATCTTTATCAAAAACAACAGGGGTCTTCATTGGCCAGAACCCATCATACATGCAAAATTTCGTGAAGATTGGTCCACAACTGTGGCCTGTATCGCGTTTACAAGTTATAATGGACAGACGGACGGGCGGACGGACCCACATGTCTAGATCGACTCAGCTAGTCGAGATATGACGATCGGTATACTTAAAGGTGGGTCTAGGACCAATATTTCGCGGCGCTACAAACTTTTGGGGCTGCACAAAGCTATAATACCCTGACAACATAGTTGTGTAGGGTATAAAAATATTATTTCTAATTAAATAAAAAAAAAATTATTAAATGTTTTTCTGTGTGTCCTCAGGTGTTGTGGGAAAAGCCCTTATTGAAAAATTGTTACGTTCGTGTAATATAAAGAAACTCTATATATTGCTACGCCCTAAAAAGAATCGCGGAATCGATGACCGTCTAGAGGATTTGAGACAGGAAATGGTAAGTGAAAGGCGGATTATCTCAGCATTGTATTTGAATCATGAAAAATGGTTATAATGTATGTATATTCCTTTAAAAAAAGGTCCTTAAAAATATTCCTTTAAAAATCCACTCCATAATGGTTCTCAAAATGCACGCCTTAAAAAAATATTCTTTAGAAGCTCCAAGTTTAACGATTATTTGAAAAACTACTCCTTTAAAAAAATCACTCATTAAAAAGTATTAATTTTAAAAATATACACTCGTAACCTTGAATAAATACTCCTCGAAACACTATTATATCATTTCCAAAATATTGCAGATTTTCCGCCGTCTACGAAAGGAGAAACCCAATGAATTTATCGAAAAGGTGATTGCCATACCCGGTGATGTCTTGCAGCCCATGTTGGGTATATCTCCGGAAAATATAGCTCGAATGTCAAATGTTTCGTTAATATATCATAGTGCTGCAACCATACGATTTGATGAACCCTTTAAGGATGCTGTGAATTTGAATGTTGGTGGTACCTTGGAGGCATTGCGATTTGCCGAAACTTTAAAAAATCTTGAAGTCTTCATGCATGTGTCGACCTATTATAGTAATCCATATTTGGAATTTGTAGAACCCAAACTATATCGGGCGCCAATGAATTGGAAATTTTGTTTGGATTTGGTGCGACGTAAGGATTTGCCGTACGAAATGCTTGATGTCCTAACAAGGAAGTAGGAATGCACTCAGAATTTTTGAAAATCTAAAGTAAATAACACTTCTTCTTTTTTAGATTAATTATGGGCTTTCCCAATACCTATTGTTTTACCAAAAATTTGGGCGAGTCTTTGGTCAATGAATATCGCCATAAATTACCGGTGGTCATATATAGGCCATCCATCGGTAAGAATTATTAGTGTTGAGATTAAATACTTTTTATAATATTTATTTTTATTCCAGTCATCTTTTCTGTTGAAGAACCAGAACCGGGATTTCCAACCAATTTCGCCGGAATCATGGGCCTCTTTGCTCTCTGTGCCACAGGAATGTTGAAAATAATCCATTCGCCACTTGATCAAATATTAGATTTTTCTCCACAGGACATAACCGTTAAGAGCATGGCCTATTATACTTTGAAAGCCAGTGCAATTTATGCCAAAGGTAAACCCGATGAAGTTCCAATTTTCCACACCTCCATGGTACGACATGTACCGCTGACCTACACCAAAACGGTGGGACTTTCCATGGATTTGAAATTCTACGAACATGCTGTATTGGAGAAGAATTTTCTTATACCTGGGGTTCAGTTTACCGAGTCGCGTATTTGGTATATAATAATGGTATGTGAGTGGTGGCGGAATTTGGCGGAATTGGAATTTAAGGATCGGTATTTAATAAAAAATGTTTCTTTTAGGTCTGGCTAAAACAAATTATTCCAGCTATGATTGGAGATTTACTTCTCAGGCTGAGTGGTCGAAAACCCTTCATGATGTTCGTCCAACGTAAAGTGTATCACGTGCTGAAAGTTTTCGAACCGTTTACTTTTAATATGTACTACAGTGATGGTATCACTTACTATGAGGAAATGCTTGAGGTCTTGAAGAAGTAAGTAAAAAATCCACGCCTAGATAGTCCTTGAAAAAATATTCCTTTAAAAAATGCACGCCTAGATAGTCCTTGAACAAATATTCCTTTAAAACATCCACGCCTAGATAGTCCTTGAAAAAATTTTCCTTTAAAACATCCACGCCTAGATAGTCCTTGAACAAATATTCCTTTAAAAAATCCACGCCTAGATAGTCCTTGAACAAATATTCCTTAAAAAAAACCACGCTTAGATGGTCCTTGAAAAATATTCCTTTAAAACATCCACGCCTAGATAGTCCTTGAACAAATATTCCTTTAAAAAATCCACGCCTAGATGGTCCTTGAAAAAATATTCCTTTAAAAAATCCACGCCTAGATGGTCCTTAAAAAAATATTCCTATCAAATATCCACGCCTAGATAGTCATTGAAAAAATATTCCTTTAAAAAATCCACGCCTAGATGGTCCTTAAAAAAATATTCCTATCAAATATCCACGCCTAGATAGTCATTGAAAAAATATTCCTTTAAAAAATCCACGCCTAGGTAGTCATTGAACAAATATTCCTTTAAAAAAACCACGCCTAGATAGTCCTTGAACAAATATTCCTTTAAAAAATCCACGCCTAGATAGTCCTTGAACAAATATTCCTTTAAAAAATCCACGCCTAGATGGTCCTTGAAAAAATATTCCTTTAAAAAATCCACGCCTAGATAGTCCTTGAACAAATATTCCTTTAAAAAATCCACGCCTAGATAGTCCTTGAACAAATATTCCTTTAAAAAATCCACGCCTAGATAGTCCTTGAACAAATATTCCTTTAAAAATTCCACGCCTAGATAGTCCTTGAACAAATATTCCTTTAAAAAATCCACGCCTAGATAGTCCTTGAACAAATATTCCTTTAAAAAATCCACGCCTAGATAGTCCTTGAACAAATATTCCTTAAAAAAACCACGCTTAGATGGTCCTTGAAAAATATTCCTTTAAAACATCCACGCCTAGATAGTCCTTGAACAAATATTCCTTTAAAAAATCCACGCCTAGATGGTCCTTAAAAAAATATTCCTATCAAATATCCACGCCTAGATGGTCCTTGAAAAAATATTCCTTTAAAAAATCCACGCCTAGATGGTCCTTGAAAAAATATTCCTTTAAAAAATCCACGCCTATATGGTCCTTGAAAAAATGTTCCTTTAAAAAATCCACACCTATATGGTCCTTGAAAAAATATTCCTTTAAAAAATCCACGCCTATATGGTCCTGGAAAAAATATTCCTTTAAAAAATCCACACCTATATGGTCCTAAAAAAATATTCCTTTAAAAAATCCACGCCTAGATGGTCCTGGAAAAGATATTCCTTTAAAAAATCCACGCCTATATGGTCCTTGAACAAATATTCCTTTCAAAAACCCACGTATATATGATCATTGCAGAGTTTTTCCTTTAAGAAAATATACACCTTTTGTCTTCCTGAAAGAATATTTAAAATTTCTAATTTATATTTTTTTGCAGTACTGATTTCCAAATAAATTTTATAACAATTGCTGATCACATTGGCTCGCATGTGGAACTTTGTCGCAGCATGGTATACGGTATACGAGAGATTATGTTTAAGGAGGATCCTGCAACATTGCCCAAGGCCAGAAGAATTCTACTAATGTAAGTAATTTTTTGTTTAAGATTTAAAATTTTTAATAATTAATTTTTTTAATTTTATTTTTTACAGTAAAAAAATTATCTATCGACTGTTCCAAATATGGTTATTATATAAGCTATATCAGATGTTGGTACCACGCCTCCAAAATTGGAAATGGCATGGTGTCGATGACGTTGATCAAATAATAAACTAAAAATAAAAATATTATTTTTTTTGGTAAATAAATTGTTTAAACAAAAAATGAATTAAAAACAAATTAAAATATATTTTATCTTTATATAAAATATAATTTTGTGTATATTTTAATAGATATCAATAATGAAAAAATTACTAAAACAAAAAATAATAATCATAATAAAAACTTAAAGCTATAAACGTTTTATATAAAAAAATAAACAATTGTTTTACTAACTAAAAGTCCTTGACTTTTTTGTAATAATAACTGACTTTTAGGGAATTAATTATTTGGTTTTTGTTTTTTGGAATATATTTTTTGTTGAATAAATTATTTGCATATTTTTTTATAAGAAAAACATTTTATTAATTAGAATATTTTGCTAATTTTTTATAACAAGAAAAATGTAAAATTTTCTTTTTATATATATTTTTAATTATAATAATTATTTTATAACTATTTCCCTAAATAATGCCTGTAGCAGTTTGTTTTAATTGTTTTTAATATATATATTTATGTATTATTTAAGGAAGTTTGTGTGTGTGTGTATTTTTCAAAGTCTTTAGAAAGTATGACAACTAATTTTAATAATTATCTACCTACACAAAAATAGGTTTCTCTTTTTTAGTTTAATTAAATTAATAATATTTATATGTAATTAGAAACAAAATAATTACAATATTTTCTAACTTAAAGCAATTTCTTGAGCATTTAATTCCTGTTGCTTTCTCGCTTGGCGACGTTGGATGGGAGGTACCACAAACATGATCAAACCACTGATGGCAATCATAACACCGGCCAATATAAAGGCGGGAGCATAGGAGAAGGTAATATCATACATCCAACCTGGTAAAAAAACAACAACAACAAAATTAATATAAAATATAATTAAAAAATTATTTATTCCACTCACCTCCAATTGGTGGTCCAATCAGTGATGCCACACCCTGGAACAACAACAAAATACCAAAGGCATTCGTCAGCTTTTCCAAACCCAACAAATCGACCAAAATCACAGATGTCAAACCGACATAGGCACCAATGGTGAAACCGAATACCGAACAATAGAATGCCAACGAATAGAATCCTGTGCACAGTGGGCACAATGCTGTAGCAATACCACATATGGTCAGACATACATTATAGACCCACAAACGATTCACCCATGGCTTATCCGAGACATAACCTAAAATAATTCTGCCTATCGTATTGGCCACACCAATAACTGCAATTAGATAGGAAGACTGTTCACCGGTCAACTGGAGCGCTTTGGCTTGGGAGACAATATAAACATAGGGCATATTGAAACCGATACTGGTGCAAAAATTCGATATGGCAAAAATTACAAAGATTATGTCGGTCATCAAACCGAAATTCATCATTTCGCGTAGGGTGTCACGGGTCTCTTTCGAACATGTGATGCCACAACATTTTGCCAATTTCTGGAAAAGAAACAAGAAAAAGAGAGAATTATAATTAAGAATATTAAATATTTTTTTCAAAGGTATATTTTTTCAAAGGAATATTTTTCAAGCAGCCAGTAGGCGTGGATTGTTTAAAGGAATATTTTTTCAACGGTCATCTAGGCGTGGATGTTTTAAAGGATTATTTTTTCAACGGCGGATTTTTAAAAGGATTATTTTTTCAACGGTCATCTGGGCGTGGATGTTTTAAAGGAATATTTTTTCAAGGACCATTTAGGTGTGGATTTTTTAAAGGAATATTTTTCAACGGTCATCTAGGCGTGGATGTTTTAAAAGATTTTTTTTCAACGGTCATCTAGACGTGGATGTTTTAAAGGATTATTTTTTCAACGGCGGATTTTTTTAACGGAATATTTTTCAAAGGTCATCTGGGCGTGGATGTTTTAAAGGATTATTTTTTAAACGGCGGTTTTTTTAAAGGAATATTTTTTCAAGGACCATCTAGGCATGGATTGTTTAAAGGAATATTTTTTCAAGGACCATCTAGGCGTGGACTTTTTAAAGGAATATTTTTTCAAGGACCATCTAGGCGTGGACTTTTTAAAGGAATATTTTTTCAAGGACCATCTAGGCGTGGATTTTTTAAAGGAATATTTGTTTAAGGACTATCTTGGCGCGGATTTTTTGAAGGAATATTTTTTCAAGGACCATCTAGGCGTGGGTTTTTAAAGGAATATTCTTTCAAGGGCCATCTAGGCGTGGGTTTTTAAAGGAATATTCTTTCAAGGGCCATCTAGGCGTGGGTTTTTAAAGGAATATTCTTTCAAGGACCATCTAGGCGTGGATTTTTTAAAGGAATATTTTTCCAAGGACCATCTAGGCGTGGATTTTTTAAAGGAATATTTTTTCAAGGACCATCTAGGCGTGGATTTTTTAAAGGAATATTTTTTCAAGGACCACTAGGCGTGGATTTTTTAAAGGAATATTTTTTCAAGGACCTTCTAGGCTTGGAATATTTTTTCAAGGACCTTATAGACTTGGAATATTTTTCAAAGATCTTATAGGCTTGGAATATTTTTTCAAGGACCTTATAGGCTTGGAATATTTTTTCAAGGATCTTATAGGCTTGGAATATTTTTTCAAGGACCTCATAGGCTTGGAATATTTTTTCAAGGATCTTATAGGCTTGGAATATTTTTTCAAGGACCTTATAGGCTTGGAATATTTTTTCAAGGACCATCTAGGCGAAAATTTTTTTAAAAGAATATTTTTACAAGCAGGCAATAGGAATGGGGATATTTCGAAGGACGATAAACATGGGGTTTTAAGGAATATTCCGAAGGATAATAAGCATGGATTGTAATCGAATATTTAAAGGTCCATAAGCATGGATTTTAATGGAAATAAAAAAATATTTTGAAGAATGATAGGCATGGATGATGATTGAGGGACGATAATCAAGGATTTTTAGGAATATTTTTAAGGGCGATAAGCTTGGGTTTATGAAATATTTTCAAGGGCGAAAAACCTGGGTTTTTATTTGATATTTCGAAGGACGATAATTGTGGTTTCTAATGGAAAATCCGAAGGACGTTAATCAATACATTTTTAAGACATATTTTCATGAAATATAGAGGCAATAACTAAAGGATTTCTGAAGAGTATGTTTCTAGAATTTTAAGGGGGATTTGTGAAAAATATTTTATCAGATAATTGGGACAACAAGGGGGATCCGTTAAAAAAAGAAAAATTTTAAAGAATATATTTTAAAGCGCTACTGAGGAAATAATGGTAGAATTTTTATGGGCATTTTTCACGATCGTCTACCCAAGGAACTGTGATTTTAAACCGATATAACCGATGATAACTTCAATAATTTTTAAGAACAACTATTGGTGTACCCTAAACTCCTATCTACTACATCACTGATATAAACTTCAAATTCGAAACTTCAATTAATATTTTTCTTACTCAAAATTAGTTTTCGAAATGTCTCTCCTGGAATATTTGGAAAATTTTTATTACACAGCATTGAGATTTTTTGGTGACCACGAGAAATTGCTGTTTTTAATTAGTGGAGCAATCGTAATGATGGTGGCAATGCATCAAATGTTCATGATGTATATCAATGAAAATTATAATGGAGCAATGGTGGCCACAACAACAACACACCAATAAATCAACTTACCTTTTCCTCATTTAAATCCAATTGTGAATGTTTAACCGAACCATAACGTTGAATGACTCCCGAACCGGAAAGATCTTGTCGTGATCTGGCATATTCGGGTATGTTGAGCAAAGAACCCTGGAAAAAAATACCTTTTTTGAATTACTTTCTAAATAGACGACGAAATATTAAAATTTTACCTGATACAAAATATCTGGCCTATACATGGTGCCACTACCCGACTTTTCACGATGTTGCTCTTTCAATTGGGCTAAATGCGGTTGACTCATGGTCGAGCGTATAATATCTTCATTGCTGGCACATTTTGAAACTACAGAAATTTCCAGTTTTTGATTGACAGCACCATTAGAGCTATTTAACTGTAAAATAAATTATAAATATTAAAAAAGAAATCATTATAAAATGAATTTTATGTTCAACTTACCTTATTCTTATATGAATGACCCACACTGTTGGATCGGCACAAACCATTTGTTTCGCTTTTTGGCAGCTGTAGATATTGATCAGCCTGCTTGACATTGGCCTTCAATGGTTCCAATTCCCCTGGTGTAGCATGTTGATCGATGTTCTTCTTTTTGGCTTTTGTGGGTTGTGGTGGTTCTAATGGTCGGAACATGGCACCAAATATAATACAATTCAATACAATGCCACCAACAATTAATAGGGCGCCACGCCAGCCATAAGTACCCAATAGAGTCTCCATTAGAGGAGCAAATACAAAAGTACCAAAACCCGAACCACATACTGCAATACCAGTGGCCAAGGAACGTTTCGCCTCAAAATATGTACTAACACTGACAATGGCGGGTAAATAAATTAGACCCAAACCCAGACCGGTACCGAAACCAATGGTAATAATTAAGGTAAGGACATTCTAAAGAAATACCAAAAAATAATATTATTTAAAATAGTTAAATTATTAGGATTACATACCTGTGCATATGTACTAATAATAATGCAAATAGCTGTGAGTATAGCACCAGCTATTGTCACCGCTCGACAACCATAACGATTAACAAATGAAGATGAAATTGGCCCTGTAAAACAAAACAAAATATAATTTTCAGCCTTAAAGTATGCTTTAAATTTTGCAGCTTTCGAGCACTTTACATTTGTGGGAGTAATTATAGCACTAGTATGTTTATAAGTCAATTTTTTATTTTAATAAATTACCTGATGCAAATGTCACACCAACCATAATGGATACAATCCATGCTGTATAGCCTTTTCCCTCATTGAAATAAATTAGAAACTCATCATAGAACAGGCCAAAGGAGTATGTCATACCATCAGCTGTAATGGGAAATTGGTTATTGTTAGTGTAAGGAAAATATTGCAATTAATTTGAATAATAATTATGATTTATTAATAACTAAAATGGAATAAGTTGTAATAAATATAATGTAAAAATTATTTTTAACAGTTCTAAGTGAGGTTTTAATGAATATTTTCAAGAACAATGAACGTGGGGGTTTAGGGTATATTTCGAAGTACGATAAATGTGTTTTAAGAAATATTTCGAAGTAGAACCTTAAGCATGGATTTTTGAGAATTATTTCGAAATTCGATAAGCGTGGGTTTTTAAATTATATTAAGAAGGAAATATAATATTCGTGGATGTTTACGGATTATGTAGAAGTATGATATGCACTGATTTTTAAGAATTTTTCAAAGGACGATTGGCGTGGGCTTCAAGAAATATTTAAAAGGCAATGGTGTGGGCTTTTTACAGTAAGCGTGGGTTTTTAAGGAATATTTCGACATACGTTAAGCGTGGATTTAAAGAAATATTTGGAAGGACGATATTCGTGGGTTTTTAAGTAGTATTTCAAAGGACGATTAGCGTGGGGTTTTAAGGAATATTTCAAACGACGATGTGGGTGGGTTTATACATATTTGTTCAAAGGACGATGAGCGTGGGTTTATAAACAATTTTTCAATAGACGATTTCTAAAGACGATAAGGGTAGGTTTCCAAAGAAAGTTTCTAAGAACGGAATTTTAAGGAATATTTCGAAGTACTATTGGCGTAGGTGTTTTAAGAATATTTCGAAGGACGATAATATTTCGAAATACGATAACCGTGGATTTTTAAGGATTATTTCCAATATTCAAGAGAATTATTTTTTGCAGATTTTCAAAATATAAACGCATAGACTTTTGCGGAAAGGAGGAGGATTTTTAAAGATTATATTCAAGATTAAAAAGCGTGGATTTTGAGAAAGGAACGATAAGCGTGGGTTTTTAAGGAGTATTTCGAAGGACGATGAGCGTGGGTTTATAAAGAATTTTTCAAAGGACGATAAGCGTGGGAATTTTAAAGAATTTTTCAAAGGATAATAAGCTTGGATTTATAAAGAATTTTTCAAAGGACGATGGTCATGGGTTTATAAAGAAGTTTTCAAAGGACGATGAGCATGGGTTTATAAAGAAATTTTCAAAGGACGATGAGCGTGGGTTTATAAACAATTGTTCAAAGGACAATAAGAGTGGGTTTATACAGAATTTTTTAAAGGACAATGAACGTGGGTTTATAAACAATTTTTCAAAGGACGATGAACGTGGCTTTCAAGGAATTTTTCAAAGGACGATGAACATGGGTTTATAAAGAATTCTTCAAAGGACGTGGGGTTTTGAAAAAATTTTCAAAAGACGTGGGTTTTTAAAGAAATTTTCAAAGAACGATGAGTTTTCAAATAATATTTCGAAGGCAATGGGCGTGGGGTTTCTAAAGACAATTTCTAAGGACGATGGTGGTGGGTTTCCAAAGAAGGTTTCTAAGAACGATACGCGTGGACTTTTGGTGAATATTTCGAAGTACGATAATCGTGGGTTTTTAAGGAATATTTCGAAGTACGAAAATTGTCGTTTCTATGAAATATTTCGAAGTACATTAAGAATGTTTTTATACCCATCACCACACTGTGGTACAGGATATTATGTATTTGTGCATATGCTTGTAACAGGCAAAAAGGAATCGAGATAGACCCATGGTTCCTTTTGAGAGTATGAATATGAATCACTTTCTGAGTCGATTGGGACATGGACAGGTCACTTTTATGATACGATTTGGATGAAATTTGGCACATATCACCTATTTGAAGTAAGAACCAACCCTATTGAAATTGGAGAAAATCAGTTCAGATTTCGATATAGCTCCCATTTATAGTTTAGTCCGATTTTATTTATATGGTGCACCAAACTCCCAATATTGGTCCGATTGAGGCACAATTTTGCATAGAGTATGAATTAGGTTGTTTTAATTTAGTTCAAATATCTATGTACTTCACGCAGTTAATTTCGTCCGTTTCCATTTCAATGGTCCTCCATAGATGCTATGACTATTCTACCTAATGGAAATTGTTTATATGTATAGAATATTTCAAAACATGTCGTCTTGTTCAAGATAAACTTTACGAAAAATCGCACAAGGATTCAAAGAAGGCTATGTTTTTACAAAAATATTCCTTATTTGAATTGACAAAAGATATGTCATCTGAAAAATAACCTGAATTCAAAGATATAAAACTTTAGAGTTACCAGCAAAGAATTTATCAGGTCATAACTCAAAAACTTAACCTATGACAAATTTGAAACTCAGGAATTTTTATAGGGCATTCATCATCATAACGATTTTTTTAATAAATTCAATAATTAAATATTAATTAAATATTAATTCAATAATGAAATATTAATTCAGTAATAAATATTTTTTTCATTATTTTGATCCATTTAAAATATTTCAATATTAAAATTTATAAACTATTTTGTATCGGCGTTTCAAATTCTGTTTTTTAACCTACTAAAATTTGTTTAAATTTAAAAATAATAGATTAGATTAGACTTCAGACGTCTACGATAGCGATTAACTGTTGTAAATAAATCATGACATATATTTTGTGAAATATAAAGTAGGTAAATAATCTGTAATCTTTTTGTAAATCTTTTTTATTTTGTATTTATTAAGCACTTAAATGTCTATTAAATATTGAATAAAAAATGATTGGATTTTGGAAAAAGTTTTAAAAAATATTAATTATTTTTAGTGAAAGAAATTTTCTGATAACACTTATAGAAACAAATAAAACACTGTACGTAAACATGATAATATGACACAGCTGGTCTATGAGAACAATGACCTATTTGTCTATCTATTCGGAATGTGTTTGTATGCACTTTTCTAATCGGCGTTTTCATTGTTCATTGTAATGAAATAGCAATTTCTTTTGTGTGATTTTACAAAATCAATCAAAACAATTGCATTATAACTCGTTGATTTATCTTCGTTATTATAATTCCGCATAAAACAAGTCTGTTGGGGTTTTATGCAGTTTTTTATGACTAATTGCTGGCGATTATAATTCCAATGAAATGAAAAAACAAAACAAGACAACAAAGCCGGAAATATTGCAATCTTCACAACAAATGTCGTGAACAATTAAGTTGTTATAACACCAATTATTATTAATTTGATGTAAGCATAAAAAAAATAATTAATAAACTAGTAAAAAGGTCGTTAAGTTTGGAAGACCGAACTTCCAAATTTCTTAAAAAATTTTGAAAAAGGAAAAAAGCACATTACAGATATTCAAATGTACATGAATTCGAAATGCCACTAGAACCTTCAAAAATCGAAAATAAAATAGTTCTTTAATACGGGGACTGTGTTCAAGCTTTGACTCTGAAAGACGTTCTACCAGATTTCTATATGTAGAATAACCATTAGTCTTCTATAATATAGAGTCCTCCAAATAAGTATTACATTCTACATACATATAGAGATGAAGGTCTACCCAGATCATTTATAAATAGTATATCCTCTACAGTTTTTTTTTTTTTTTTTTTGATCTACTATAGACAGAATTTATTGCATTTAACTCGAATAGTGCTGTAATTATTTTTTTCGAATTTTGGGACGAAACTTTCAGCGTATCCAAAAATTTGATTTGTATCCTCTTTTCTTATCAGGATAATCGACAGGATCATTTTTTGGGCTGTGACTATATGGTCATACTAGCACTGCTCGGGTAAAGGTGTTTTTAGATGTTTTATTGATCGTCTTATGAATGTGACCATATGGTCACGCTAACACAGCTCGGGTTAAATATATTTCTGATTACCTAACTTTCTCTACTATTACTACACTTAAAAAAAAACTTAACAAATATATTTACTTATTTCGGTGGGCATACCTTCCCCACGTGGCCACATTCTAATTGAACGCACTATTTTTCATACATACATTTTGCGATTTGACGAAAAAATCAAACAAATCATTCACTTATTCAATATTTGGCGTCCATTTGTATATATGTATCGTATGTATGTAAATATTTGTTGTTTGTTCATAAGCATAATTTATTGTTATTGTTGCTGTTGTTGATTTATTTTATGATGTTAATTCGTTGTGAACTTGTTTGTCAATTATCGCTCGCTCGGTGGGCCTACAATTTAACCCATTCTCTCTTTCGGGTCTTGTGATTATCAATGAAATAATTTATGGTGGGCATATTGAACTGAACTGTTGATCGTAGAAAAAAGTTCAATTGTTAGCATATTGATATTTTTTTCGCATAGAAACTCATGGTCTGAAAAATTACGGATCGAGAACATACATAAATATATATACATACATACATTTTGATTATGGTATATCCCAAAACATGGCATCAGACAATTTTTTTGTTTGCAGACTTATGTTAAAATAAAAAAAATGTGTCAATCAAAAAAATGCAAATCAATTAACAGACAATGCATAAATACCATCGATCAATTTGGTTTAGCCCCTGATAAGGCTTTGCCCCAAAAAAGTACCGAATTTGATGCATAGAAAAGTTTTGGTAAATTATCAAATTATTTTAAAGTAGATGATGAAATATGAAAATATGTTTCCGCATTCAATTTCTACAAATTTGCAAGTATTTTTAATTTGATGTTTAGATTTTGAAAGTATGGGCGCATGGTGTATAAACATTGGCACATATGTGTGAAAATCTAATCTAATATAAACCGGATGGGGCCGACTATACGATACCCTACACAACTACCACGGAACAATAATATTCTGCGGATTTTTATTCCGAGCCTGGGCAATTTTTCGTGATATTAATCGATATTTACCAAAATCAATAGGGGCCAGAACCCATCCTAAATTTACAAACAATAATGGACAAACGGACGGACAAACATGTCTAGATCGGCTCAGCTAGTCGGCATATGACGATCGGTATAGTTAAAGGTGGGTCTAGGACCAATATTTCGCGGCGTTACAAACTTTTGGGGCTGCACAAAACTATAATACCCTGACAACATAATTATGTAGGGTATAATAAGAAAAGTTGGAGCCCATAAAGTTAGTTGTTGAGAAGCAATATTAATAACACTGTGACACAAAATAGAGCTCATGGTCAGGAGATGAAAACCCTTAATGTGTATATTAAAAACCCAGAAGGACACATTCTATATGTATAAGTGAGAGATAATTTTGTAAAATATGTCATCTTTCTATTCCGAGCATTTTTGTGTCTTTGCAAAAGCCGACACGAGGGCAAAAGCCGACTTTAAGGCTTTTTGATTTTTGCCGCTGAGCAAAAAGTCGATTTTTAGACTTTTCGATTTTTGCCTTCTGACTGAAAAGTTGAATTTTCGATCTTTCGTTTTTGTCGAACCTGCTTAAAATCGATTTACGACTTTTACTGACTAATAAAAAAATCGACTAAAAATAGATATTTATAACCATCACCTCACTGAGGTACAGGGTATTATGTATTTGTGCATGTTTTTGTTATAGGCAAAAGGAAACGAGATATGCCCATGGTTCCCTTTGAGAATATGCATGCATATAATAAGTTTCTCAGTCGATTTATGCATGTCCGTCCATCCGTCCGTCTGTTGATATTAAATTGTAAACCAAGTACATGTCGCATTTATAATTCGATTTGGATGAAATTTGATATAGCTCATTTATTTGCATGAACATCGGTTCAGATTTATATATAGCTCCCCTATATATTTTTATTCGATTTTATGGAAATGATGGACCAAAGTCCCTATATATGTTTCGATTTACACGAAATTTGGCATAGCGTACTGAATTGACTCCCAAATGATGTGTGTTAAGTTTCGAGAAAATCGTTTCAGATTTAGATATGGCTCCCATATATATTTTCGTTCGATTTAGTGTAAATGGTGTACCAAAGCTACTATATTTCTTTCGATTTGCACGAAATTTGGCATAGCGTACTGAAAGAAGTCTAGAGTGATGGGTGTTAAGTTTCGTGAAAATTGGTTCAGATTTAGATATAGCTCCCATATATATTTTGGTCCGATTTTATGTAAATGACGCACAAAAGACCCTATATATCATTCGATTTGTACGAAATGTGGCATATCGTACTGAATTGAGTTTATGTAAATGGCGAACAAAAGAGTCTAGAATGATGTGTGCTAAGTTTCGTTTAAATCGGTTCAGATTTAGATATGGCCTCCACATATATATTTTCGTGCGATTTTATGTAAATTGTGCACTAAAGACCCATTTTTTCCGATTGGCACAAATTTTGTACAATGTAGTGAAATTTTTATAGCTTCCACATATATATTTTCGTCCGATTTTAGGTAAATGGTGTACCAAACTCCTAATGTTTGTCCGATTAGTCTCACATTGAGACTAAAATGACATTGCCTTCTTTTTGAAATTGGTGCATATGCAGACATAGCTTCCATATATATTTCGAACGGGTGTCTGATTGAGATTAAATTTTGAACAGTGCGGCATACCGAATGGTGTGAATCAAGTGTGCTAAAATTGATTTACATAAATTTGTCCCATTGTACGCAAACGTCTCTAAATCTACCCGAATGAAATGAAATTTAGCATAGGTTGCAAAAGACATATTTAAGTTCGTTTAATTTCATAGATAAAGAACATTATATATGTAAAATATACCCAAAGTGATGAAGGGTATCATATAGTCGGCTCAGCCCGACTTTACTACTTTCATTACAGGTTTAATATAAAACTTGGTATTTTCCATTTGTTTCTTATTTTTCACGTGATTCGATTAGTATTTTTTATTTTTTGTTACTAAATTTGAATATATCTTACTGGACCATTTGTAAAGTCCTGACTTCGCATAGCCATTTCCTCAATCATATCGTATATGACAATTAATTAAAATTGATTTCCGAATAACTATAATCCGGCACATGTTTGCCTAACACGTGAATAATAATTACAATTACCACACACAATCCAAATACAAACATACACAAGAACATACATATATACGTTTGTGGAACATTTCATCCCAACCATTTCAGGAGGCGATAAGACCTGTCATCTTTAATGGAAATTATTTTCTTATGTAAACAGATTTATGGGCATGTCGCTAACTAGCAGATTAAAAAATGAAAACAGTATACAACAACAATAAAATATGAATATTGATTTGCATTACTTTTGATTTCATTTTTCAATTTCGAATACAAAAAAAAACGCTATTTTTCTAAGAATTAAGATTAAGGAAATCAATTGTATACGAATAATAAATATAAAAATAATACAAAACAATAATAACAATAATTAATAATTAAAAATAAACATTATTCTAATTTCAAACTTACTGATAATGTGTATCATAAAGGAACCAAACACGACCATCCAACCCCAACCGCCATCTGGCGGTACGGGCTGTTGTGTCTCTTCCAGTTCCATTTCATATTCTTTTGTGTTGTTATTGGTTGTGGCACCATTGGATTTTTTCTTTGTTGGAGCTCCATGTACCATTTTGAAATAGTTTTGTTGTTGTGTTGGTGTAAAAATTGATTTTGGGATATGTTGTTGTTTTTGCTGTTGCTGTTATTTGTTTGAGGTAGTTGAAGTTGTAATGGAAATAAAATACGTAAGAACTGCAGCAATTAGGCGAACTTAAAGCGAAAATATATATATCACAAAATTTGGGGTTGTTTCAGGTTCTCTTAGGTTTCAATCCAACTCAATTCCATTACGTCTGTGGTTTTTGTATTTATTTATAATTTAATTAGTTGAGCACATTGTGTTTTGTGATTTGTTGTACTTTAGGTTTGTGGTTGTGACCTGTAATGGAAAAAATACATAATATTAGTATTGGTTTTCAACTATATTATATATGAAAACTATTTATCTTGGATTTATTATTTTTAAATTTAAACTTAAACGTAAAAGCTCAAACAAGGCCTGGATTTATTAAAAAATATTTTCAAGTACCCAAACAAAGCGTGGATTTATTAAGAATATTTTTTTCAAGTACCCAAACAAGGCGTAGGGGATGATAGATACCAAGCAACGCCTCTGATTGGCTTTAACATGCCGAAGTCCAGGCTTATCTTGGTACTTCTTTCATCTCAATTGTTGACACTGACCTCCCCGCGACGCCACCTGGGGAGCTATTTTAATCACCCGATGAAATAGTGAGAACTATAAAAAAATGGGTTGAGGCGTCGGGTTAGTTGCCCACACTCAGAAAACCCAACCTACTATAAAAAAGCTAAGAAAAAGAAAACCAAACCCCCCAATGTTGAAGACCCCCGCAAACGTATAAAGGACCACGATCTGCGAATCTGCACTTGGAATGTGCGCACGTTGTACAGAACAGGCGCAGTGTTCGCTTTGGCGGATGTACTCAAGAAGTACAAAGCCGATATTATTGGCTTACAGGAAATGCGATGGAAAGGGACAGGCGTAAGTAAATCAGACGATTACGCACTGTATTATAGCTGCTATGAAACCTCTCCAGATTCACTCCAGTAGATGAGCGAATTGCTATAATCCGCATAAAAGCGAAGTTCTTTTACATCAGTATTATTTGTATCTCTCTGGATCTGGATCTCTCCTGATCAAGCAACGAGAAATCAAATTGATCATGTTGTGATAGACGGAAGGCATTCATCCAGTGTTTTAGACGTCCGATCGATACAAGGAGCGAATATCGATTCGGACAATTACCTAGTGGCAGCCAAGGTACGCACCCGACTTAATGTAACACGGAAACTCGACGTCGAAAAGCTGCAAACACATCAGCTCCGCTCAACTTACCCACCTGCTTGACGAAAGCACTTCTTGTCCAGCCGATCTATTCAAGACTGATGGCCAGATGCTGGTCAGGAGCATGCACAGCGGATTAGTACAATTTGGCTAGACGAATGCATGCCCAATGATTGGAACCTCAGCATCCTGTATCCCGTGCAAAAAAAAGTAGACAAGATGATATGTGTCAACTTTAGAGGTCTCCTTCCCATCGCATATAAAGTGCTATCCAGTGTGCTGTGTGAACGATTGAAGCCAATGGTCAATGACATTATTGGACCATACCAATGCGGCTTCAGACCTGGCAAATTTACACTCTGCGCCAAATCCTGGAAAAGACACACGAAAAACACATCGACACATAGCATCTATTTGTCGACTATAAAGCCGCATCCATTCAGAGGTTTTTAAAGACATGTCTACGTAGACTCGGACCAACTGTGGAACGTGAGAACTGCAGCTTCGAGGTAGTTAAAGATTTTATATACCTTGGTACTGCCATAAATAAAACGAATGACATCAGTTTTGAAATTCGGAGAAGGATTGTGATGGCCAACAGCAACCAAGCAAGGCCACCTCCCGCTAGACCAAACTCACACTTTACAAGACGCTGATACTATTATATGGATCTGATGCATGGGTATTTGCGCAAGCAGATGAGGCAGGGCCGATCTGCGTCGACGGTGAATATCGGCGTGGAATGAACCACGAGCTTTACAATTTATACGCGGACATCGATATAGTCAGGGCTGCAGCGACTACGGTGGCTAGGCCATGTTGCGCGAATGAATGGGAATGCGCCAGCTCAAAAGGCATATAAAAGAGAGCCTACTGATGGTTCCCGTAGAAGGGGAAGGCCACGAATTAGATGGAAAGACCAAGTAGAAAACAACATCTTGGAACGTGGTCTTCCAAATTGGTGAATTTGCGCACAAGACCAACGCGCTTGGAAATCTTTTTTAAGCTCGGCTTAAGTTCAGTATTTTATTCTTCAAGCGCGTCCTGTGCATGGCGGCATCCTCAATTCATGTTCACAATTGCACATCATCTTTAAATCACATTCAACTTGCCACACACAAATGTGGTCATATCAATTATGAAATGACGCCCCTTTTTAATATGTATTTTACAAAAAGATACCGCCACAAATGGACATCAAAAAAATACTGCGACACTTGAAGCTTTTATTCATTTATTTGTTGTGACACTCCGATGAACTGCAATCTGAGCATTTTTATTATGCGAAACAATCTCAGTCCGAAATTGAAGTGATAATAAAAGTCATCGGACAAACACATTTCAATTTCGAATGATTAGCCCCCAAAAGAAAAGAAAAATGAATGTGGCATGAAGTAATTGGGTGATTTGATTTTTTTTTTATTCAAGAAGTTCATTGGTCTAAATTTTTGCCAATAAAAAAATAATGCTGCTCTCTAGCATGCTCTGATAATTGGAAGGTCAAGTTTAATAAGACACTTTGGCAAATGATAATTGAACGAAAATATATTTATATGAAGAAGATGACAATCAACGAGAAGAGGAATTTTAATTTTAAAATTTACGTTTTCATGAAATAATCATCAGAAAATGTGCTAATATTTTTCAACCAGTAAATCCGGTTTAAAAAAAGAATATTGAATGAAAATGTTCATTCAATTTTCACACCATGAACAGCTGTCCATCAGCTTGTCATGTTGGTCGGTTTGAATTGGTTTTGCCTCGAAACGTTCCGCAAAAAGGGCAAATGTTAAAAGAAATAAAAATCATCGAGCTGTCAAAATCAGAGTTCAATTTTAATGGTATTCGAAATCAGTGCAATCACTTCTTTTAAGTGGGAAGAGGAAATGGGGGAAGTAGATACATGTCAATTTTTCTGACGAAGTTGCAATGAAAAGAAAAGCCAGAGAGATACTACACTCCCACCATTATGCAGCCTTACGAAATTAAGGATGTGGTTTTGAACGCTAAGGCGGTAATTAAATTCTATTTAGTAGAATATTCAGAAGCTATAGAATTCAACTGCAGGACGATACGCACAAAACATATATACAATAACTATCAAAGTGCCCGTCACTTCGTATGCGGAAAGGCATAAACAAAATAATAATATTTCATGTGGAAATCGTGAAAACTGTATAATTTGTTGTATTATAGTTCTGAATTCCACCTCTACTCCTACATCTAATATCAAGCTTATTACCATTTAGTACTCTTCATACACATAAGCACTACTTTCCGAAATCTTTTTCTTATTTCCATCACACAGATTAAAAATAGATAGACAGAATTCCAATTATATATTTTAGCATATACGAACAGGTTCCGCATTTAGTTCCATATAGCACTTTTCGAAAACATAAGTACACATTTGCAAGACAACCTCCGTACCACCACTAAATTTAGTACCAAAAACTTTATGGTACTTCCTTCTAACTCTCCGGTGACCTACATTCCAAATTTAGTACCATTAGTACTTTTCATACTCATAAATAAGAACTTCTAAAACTACATCAATCAAATAGTAATCGTAAATTTAAGACAGTGACCTACAACCAAAGTCCAAATTGTACCCATTTTTTTTTTAAGCTACCTCACTCCTGAACTACATTAGTAGTCCTAATTCCGATTTTCAGGCTTCCATCTCTATACTCTGATTTAAATGCAAATAGTACCAAATTTAGTACCATTTGTACTTTTTATACGCATAAGTACGAATTTCTTAAACCTTTTTTAAACATCAACACCACTTCCCAACCTGTATTCCTTACAAAATTTCAAGATTCTAGTTTTATATGTGCAATATATAAACAAGTTCAAATTTCCAAAAACCCAGGGTTCAAATCCCAGCCGAGCCCAAAATAACAAATTGCAACCAGTTCAGTTGAAAGACTTGTCTACCCTTTTTCATTCAAGCATTTCAATTGCAATTCGAGAATTTCATTTGTAATTCAGTAACTCAATTTACAATTCATACAATTTTAGTTGTAATTCGAGAATGTAATTGGTAGCTTACAACATTTAATTTGTAATTTTAAACTTTTCATATGTAAGTCAACAAAAATCCATTTGAAATTTAAAGAATTTCATTTGTAATTCGTATGTTTCAACTCATAGAGTTTCATTTGAACTTCAAATAAATTTAAAGGGTTGCATTTAAAATTCATAACATTTCACTTGTAATTCATAATATTTCAGTTGTAATTCGAAACAATTCATTTCAAATGCATACATACTTTTGTGTGTTACCAATGAATTATTATGTGTTTCAAATGAAATTTCAAATGTAATCCTTTGAATTCCATATGGAAGTATATGAATTTCAAATGGAATTCTATGAATTTCGTATGGTATTCTATGAATTTCATATGGTATTCTACGAATTTCATATGGTATTCTATGAACTACAAATGAAATTCTCGAATTACAACTGATATGGTATGAATTGCAAATGGAATTTTCGAACTGCAAATTATATGTTGTGAATTACAAATTTTTTGAATACATATTCTTTTATTCGATTTCACTTGTTTAAAATTAAAAGTTATGAATAACAACTGAAATGTTATGTATTTCAAATGAAATATTATGAATATCAAATTAAATGTTATGTATTTCAAATAAAATGTAATGAATTTCAAAATGTAATGAATTTCAAATGAAATTCTCGAATTAAATTACAAATGGAATTCTCGAATTACAT